AAACTGGAAACTGTTTAACTGAACTTTATAGAAAACTAGCCAAGGAATTTAATTGCTAAATAGAACTTGTTACAGAAATATTTTTACTTGCAAATATTCACTGAACTTTCTAGAAAACTGGTCATGGAATTGACCATTTAATGTTTATTACAAAAATACTTCGCACAAATTCCTCAGTATTACAATTTATTTTTATAGATATTCAAGATACTTCGCAATTCAAAAATAAAATGAAGTGAAATAACAACGGTTTGCAGGCACAATGGCTTGTTCTCCTAGGTATATAAAGTGAACCTAAAATTACATGGTGATCTCATTTGTTTTTAAAATGACATTTGTATTTGTACTTACAGATGTAAGTGGATAGGAAAGGGTCTGGAAAGGTGTGAAATTATGCAAATAATTGTTGTCCTCTGAAGAAGAATCCAGCAAGGTATACAGAATTGAAATAGTCAGAGGACTTTGTTTTCTTGGATTTGTTTGGATTCTTAACAGGACTCTGGGAAGTTGCTCCCCCTTCCTAGTGTGCTTCGAGGCAGCTTCACGTTTCAGAGTGAAGTAGTCACAGGAGTGTGTGACTTTCTCTCCACTACCTCCTCCTCAAAGATTGATCTGATCGCTTCTTTATCCTTCTCAGTTTGAAATTGTTCCTGAGGATGACCCTGAGAATACCATTGTGAGCTCCTCCGTAGACGCCTGTCACGCAGAACTGCTCAAGACCATAAGTGCTACTATGTAAGTTCATCAGCAGGTTGAGAACAGTGGAAAAAGATCACTTCCGGTACAGCGAGATCTGTTCTGTTGCTTTTAGTGAATGGAGATCCCTCGTTTTATAGACAGTTACCCTGCATCCTTTGGATGTCTTGGCAGCTAGTCTCCAGTGTATCCAAGTCAAGAAAGCTTATTCTCTGTGTTCATAGCCACATTCCATTCCTCAACTCATTCTCTCTTCCTCTTTAAACTCTCAAACTAAAACGCTACTTCTCCTATTTAGGGGAAAACAAATGCCCAACCTCCTTCCATCTGGAGCTGATTTCTTTGGGTTTTCTCATCCAGCCATCCACAACCTGATCCAGAGTTGTCCCGGAGCTCGAAAATGTGTCAAGTAAGTGTGGTCAAATCCATGGTGCCAGAGAGAAGGACCATGATTGGTGGGCCAGGGACCTCAACCAGCAGTTACTGCTTTGCTCATTCAGACTTACTGAGCTGCTTCTGTGTGTAAGGCATGCTGGGTGCTCAACCAGTGCACCCCAGTATTGGTCCTCTTAGCCCTCCAGACAGGTAAGCAGAAGCCAGGACCCCACTGTACTCTAATTATTGTCATTTTCTGTGTGTACCGTGTGACAACCAACTGGTTGGGAAGTCCCGCAAAATAATGTGTCATTAAAAATGCCTTTCCATCTTTTTAGCCTTTTTGTTAGTTAATATGTTCTGTAGCTTTATACGGAAGAGATCTACAGAAAAAAATGCCTGATCCCTTTGGAAGTGAGAATGGTTCGTGGCTAACAGACAGCTCTCAATAACGATTCCCTTTGAACCTACAGTTACCAGTGGGTGAGATTTGATGTGTGCAAACCTGGAGATGGGCAGCTACCCCAGGGACTGCCGGAGAACGATGGAGCTATAAGTTTTGAAGCCTTTCAGAGACAAACCTTTGATGAAGATCATAATGATCCCGTTCCACATGGTATCTCTTAATTTTATCTTTCTGCTTTGAAAATTGGCCATTTGTACACTCGCCTCCCCTCTTCATTCATAGCTGAGTACCCCAAATATCTGGGCAGTGATACAAGCTGTAACTGCCCCAGTGTGGGGACTCCTGAGTCGGGAGGCTCTGCTGCCCTGCATAGCTCCCTGGCAGTGCTCGCAGAAGTCACAGAGAGGCTGCCATCCCAGTAAGGCAGGGCCCACTGGGAAACTAGGCTTTCTCATTTTGTAACATAAGACCTAAGCAGGACTCCAGGGGCAGGTTTCCTGTGTAGGACTTAAAATTTCAAATGAGATTATGGCCCCTGTCCTGCCTGTGTTCCATGGATTCCCTCACACATGAGTGGAGCGGCAGGGGATCTGGAATGGGGTCATATAGGAGAACTCTGGACTAGAAAAAAGAAAATAGAATTAAAATTCTTAGTCTTTCCAAATATCCTGTATAACGTTAGGCAAGTTACTTAATCTGCCTCAGCCACAGATTTCTTCATTGTAAAGGTAAGTATCTGTCCTGTCTTACCAAACAAAGGCAGAATTGGACGGCCAGATTCAAGGGTGTTAAGGAATTGAAAGGCCATATGTATGCCTGATCAGTTTCCTGAGATTCCCAGGCAAGAGTGGAACTTAAGTTTTTTTCTCCAGGATCTTTGGATCTCCCAGAGCTTCAGCCTGCAGCCTTTGTGTCTTCGTACCCGCCCATGTTCCTGACGCACACACCCTTGGTAGGTTCTCACCTACGGCACCTGAGCTCTCCGTCACAGTGTAGCCCAACTCAGTCTTCCGAATGAACAAGAAGGGGTCAGCACATCGTTTTCATCATAATGAATTTTTTAACTTAAGCTAAAAACTTAGAATATATGGAAGAAGGCAGCAGTTAAAGAGTGAAGAAGAAAATAAATTAACACATTTTGTTATGGAGGTTCCCATGGTGACAGTTTTCCCTGGGAAAAACTTCAGCTGTTTTATTTTTAGTAATAAAGTTCTCTTGACAATTCTGCTGATTTTCATCTTGTAATCAGAGTATCTTTTTCATTTAGCTCTGCCTGAGGCAGAGTAAACTTAAGTTTTTTATAAACGAAGGAGATGGCTGCTGACTCACAAGGGACATAGTAAGATTCTGACAACCGTCTACCCTTGATTCTGATCCTATTTCACAGAATGTGAAGTCCCAGCCCCTGAAACCAAAGCTGCTGCTTTACTTCCCTGAAGCATCCTCAGACCCAGATCCTGCTAATCCCCTCGCTGGAGAGTTTAGGCCAAGACCACTCATTGTTCGTCTTTTCTTCATATTTGACACATCTTTCCAGAAAATCCAGAAGTCCTCTTTAGCACTTCTTGGGTCCTTATTAACCTTTGTGGTTCCTATGGGAGAATGTGCTTTTAGCTGAATACATTGAGATGACATAGTAAGACAAATGTAGATAGAACATGATTGGGGATTGGCTCCCAACCTCCCTAAGACGCACCCATCATTTCTTTAACCGTGGAACAACAGATCTCCATATTCTGTGCAACTGAAATATTTGGACCCTGCTTATGGCCTGAAGGTGGAGGTTTATCACATCACCTAATCCAGACCAGTACCACTCCCCCCTGCCTTACGGGATGTCCTCACTGCCCTCCCGGCCAGGTGCCAGGGCTGACAGGAACGGAGCGGAGCAAGAAGACCCAGGATTCAAGAATGGGGAAGGGCTGGTGAGAACGGGGTTGTTACTGTGCCCAGCTCATAACTGCTAACCGGGGCCATCACAGATGGGATGAGGAGAAATCTGGCCGGAGGAGGGAGGGGATCAGTCAGCAGCCTTGAAGCGCACCACTGGCCACTCTATGGATCAGACACTAGAGGGAGTAGTAGTGATTTTATGACAATTGCAGTCCTTTTATAAGTTTATATAGCTTTTGCAATACAAAATAAATAATAAAATTTGGATAACAGCAAATCAGGAATTAAAAGGGGATTATCAAAGTTGTTAGTTTTAATGTTTTTGTCTTTCTCTGCATAAGTTGCCTGAACATATTTGTATTTACACAGGATTGATACATGCTGCTTTTATCATACAGCAAATATCTTTCAATTCTATTACAGTCTGAGTAAAAAGAGAGAGGCCTAATTTTAAAGAAGACATTAAAAAAAATTTAGTGCACTATTTAATGAGTATTCACTTTGTAGCTGTGCTACAGCAATGTTTTGCCAATTACAAATCTCAACCCATCCATTGTTCTTAAACTTAGGAGTTAAGACTTGCATCTTTTAAAATTAAAACAATTAGAACATTTGAATGCATTGCATGTTGAAAAATTTAAACTTTGGTTTCAACTGTAGTGTATAGGTATGTATGTATATAAATACCACACATGCGTACACATATATGGGGATGCATGGAATGTCATAAAATGTTTTTACTACGGATCATTGTTTTAAAAACTTGAAAAACACTGCCCTAGTATACTTAAAGTACCTTTTCATCTACTGGCTATTTAAAGATTTTTTTTTTAACTTGGTAATACACAGTGTCAATGAGAATGAGGGAGAAATGGGATATACGTTGGTGGAAATGTAAGCTGTTGAATCCTCTGAGAAGGTTAAGCTATAGGTATCAAAATTGGTAAATATTTTTTCCTTAAATCTGTTAGTCTACATTAAGGACCCTAAAGAAGTATGATATGATGTTCACATGCAATATTTATCACAGTTTACTAGTGAAAAATCAGGAAAAAAACCTGTATGTCCACTAATGGGATATTGGTTAAATAAGGTGTGGGTCTCCCACAAATTGAAACACTAACTATATTCAACTTACATGGGAAAATTAATTTTACTAGAATAAGTCAAAAACATTACAAAATAATATAGCAAGTAATGTCTAAAATATAATGCAAACAAATCAAGTCAATGTTCACCAAAATACTGTTTCTCTCCAAACAATGAATTTGGAGGTGATTTTTGTTTGTTTATACTTATTGTTAGTGTCCAAATCTACAAGAATTATGAATTTCATCTTTCAAACAGTATAGTTACTTTCATTTGGGAAATAAACTGAATTCCTACAGAATGTTTTAAATCATTCAACCATTAAAAATAAATTAACTTCCACATGACTTTTCATCAGTATCTCCACTACCTAAACCTCATTTTTCACCCCTTGCACACTTGGTTCCTGGTGGGGTGAAGGGAACCTGGCTTCTCTCACTGCCTCCAAGCTAGACTGGCCCGTGGGTGTAAGTGCACTGGGGGAGGGAGGGGCGCAGGTAGAATTAGTTTTTTCAGGAGTCTGTCTCGTACTAGGTTTGTAGTTCCCATTAGACGCAGGTGCATAAGAGGTCAAAGCATGGGTGTTCAGAGTTAATTGTACACTAGGAAGTCCTCAGATGAACCAAAGCTCCTTGCACATAGTTGTAGTGTTTTGCTAAACAAAATCCTGGCGCTGACAGTTCTTCATGCTGTCGACAGCCGCACCAGGACTCGGGGCAGGAGGGACAGAGCGCTGCGTAGAGCTTTGGTAGTCATTTCACATCATGGGATGGGAGCCGCTCAGAGATCTGTTGTACTCCTTTCTCATGCCTCCAAGAATAATTCAGAAGCCTGTTCCTAACCCAGTTTTGACTGGATGTAAATATATACATATCACTAATGATTATACTTTTATTTCCAACTGCTACAATAGATAACACAGTTATCAAGTGGTGTTGGCTGTTTTTAATCAGCCAATGGCATTGATCTTAACAGTACACACAAAAGCCCTCTTTCACACAGTCCCATCTGGATTATTTTTCTAGATGCTTACCATGTAGCTTTGCTTTCAGTCTCACTTTCTCCTTCCATCTGGATTATCCTTTTTATATTTAAATCTCTTATCTTTAAGGAGCCTGAGACTTATATTTAACTCTACCCCATTGCCTCTCAGTGACCTCTACTGACGTTTTCCCAAGCCTGTGGCCCCCTCCTGGGTCAGGTTTGTTTTACCATTCATATTATCATAACTTAGACTGAAGGAATAAAATTGTTTCTGGCTTAGAAAGAACACAGGGTTATGTTCAGGCATCTGAAACACTGCTGTATAGTGGAAGAGATTTCAGTTCCACATAAGGAAAAACTTGGGAAGTCTAGAATGGAGACTTCATACAGAGATTCAATAACCACTTGTCAGATTTTGTGAAGAACACGTAAATACTATCTGACCTACATGACCTTGAAATGTCTTCCAACCCTGAGTCTCCACAATTCTGGATATAAGGAGACAAAAGTGTTAGACATTGAACTCCTGACAATAGGGGAAGTGAAGGGCACTGAGGTTCAGTTTGCACTTAGGAATTAGTCCAGTACAGACACCTGGACTAACTAGGGGACAAAAGGCAAGTATGCTGTTCGCCCACCAGCCATGGCCCATCAGAATATAGAAACAGCCAAATGTTCCTGGGAGCTGTCCAGTGAGGCTTTTCTGTTAATTTACTTTAAAAGCAATAGTTGTCAAAGAGGTTAAACTCCTAAATGCCCAAAGCTAAAGGATCCACACTTGTGTCTTAAAATCTGATCATACTGCCACTAAGTCACTTCGCAACTTGCTGTGCTGACCAGGGATGCGGTTTGTAGTGAGAGCAGTGAAGGGAGGCGCCGGCAGGGTGCTGCTGCGGTGGTATAGGGGACACTGTTTATATTCACAAGGCCACGTGGTCCAGGCGTAGCGAACAGCACCCAGAGCACCACGACAAAAACGGATATTCAGGGCCAGGGTCTGAGTGGAGGAAATGCTCATGGGAGCTGGAAGCCACTTGCACACATGGTCGCTGCAGCATGAGACCTAATAAGAGAGGCATAACGTAAGAGTAGTTAGGTCAATTAGAAGAATGTTCCAAGAGCCTGGGAACTGCTCTTTCAGATGGACTAGAAGGGAGAGAAGGAGCCCTTCTTAGCCAAGGACCCATTTCCTACAATAACCACAACAAACCTCAGTCCAGGTGGGGTCTGATCAGCACAGGCACAGGTTGATAATAATGTTCATGTGATAGATAAATCAGTAAGTAAGACATTAAATTACTGAGGGAGACCAGCGTCATGATAAAGAAGGCTCCCCTGCACATTCTGTCAGGATCCCTCCCTCCAGACACAGCAGGCAGGAGCTGGGTGAGGCAATGCTGCTGCCGCTCCTCCTTGTCTCCCCCAGAGCAACTGAGGAATGGAGGTGCACAAAGGAACTCTGGGTAAGAAGCCTTGCCCAAGGCAGAAGCCATCCAGTGAAGGGAACATCCAGTATCCAGAGGTTCAATGCTGAGCTGACCCCCTGCAGCAAGGATCCTTTCACTAGCTGACCTAGTAAGCTGCAGGTCCTTCCCAGAAGCACACATGGTTGCTCTGGGAGGGAGACACAAGAGGAGCATCATTTTAATATGGACGCATTTTCCCTCCCTTGAGTGTCCTATCAGAATTGTCTCTGAGCAAATGAATCAGTAGCTGCTGATTTGCCCCTCTGAGATAAACCCAGCTCCCACAAGCTAAGACCTGCCTCATAGAAATGTTACACTTCAAGAGATGTGCCTCTCTGTGGAGGAAGCTGACTCCCAATTCAGGATGGACCCCTGTCGCCGTGCTACTCTTCTCACCTCGAATATCTTGTCGTCCTGCCTCTGCACCTGGACTTGCTGGGAATACGTGAGGTTGAGCAGCCCCTTGTCAGCCAAGAGTTCGATCTTCTCAGGCAATGGTCCTTGGAAGATCAACTTCTCACCATAAGCCACAGCACGGGCCCCTAAGTGCAGCCGATACGCCACAGTCTGCTTATCACGAGGGTGGATGCTACGGGGTGAAGAGAAAGAGAATTTGGGGTTTGGTTTCATCACCACACTTTAATATATAATAATTTATGCAAAGCACCTTTTCAGAAGGTGAGAATAGAGTCAACAAATAGCCAGGGTTCAGTGGCTTGTCAGCTTAAGAGAAATGGTGAATGGTGACCATGGGCGGGGCTCTGGGCCTTCCCTAATTTGGGAACCTTGAAATAACAGATGACTTGAAAGGAAGGAATAAAGGGAGAGAGGGTGGAAGCAGGAGAGGGAGGAGGGAAGGAATTGCAGCAGCCCTCGGAGAGCCAACTCATGAAACCATTCCAACCACTGCAAGTCCCGGGTTTCATCTGAATCAGCTGTTCCTTACTTGGCCACTCCAGGCTTTATTTGTCCATTCGGTGAATATTCACTCATTCAAAAACGAATGTCCATTTATGCTCCTAACGTGACCCAGATATTATGTGTAGGGCCCCATTTTACATCTGAAATCCCCGCAGATCCTATAGCTACTGTGTGGTAGTCATCAGGGCTACTCAAAAATACTCCATTACGCCTCCTCTGAGTCCACAGAGAACCCCACTTCCTGCTCTCCCTGAAGCTAGGCATGGCCGTATGACTGGCTTCGGCTGACGTAATATGAGCAGAAGTGGCTTGTGTTGCTTCCAGGTAGAAGCACTGATTGCCAGGGTGAGACTTCAAGGTGACTGGAAGCACAGATCAACATGGAGCCTCTGTCACTCTGGACCTGTGAATGGCTGTGATGAGCACAGCCTCTCTGCTGACCTTCTCTGGACATGCAGTGTGAACAAGAAATAATTTTTGGTTGCGTCAAGGCACTGAGATGTTGAGAGCTTTTTGTTACTGCAGCACATCCAAGCTTGAATGGTTGCTAGACAGTGCTTCTAAGGTCCAATCCTTAGCCCACCCACTCTGGCCCCTCACAGGTGAGCATCAGAGTGGAAGCCAAAGCAAAAAACATATTACTGCTCAAGCAAAGCCTGAGAAGGACTCATACCTGCCAAAAGGTGAGTTCCTATCACCAAGATCCATAGCTACAGCCATGAAAGTATTGGGCATCCTGAGGTTGGGGACGTTGCCAAAGTCTGCTGTTTGATGCCACCGGATCTGGGGAAATTGATCGTCTGAAGTTGCACCAGACAAATATGAAGATAACTAGAAAGTAGAGATGGTTGCATCAGAACTGTATTGTATCAGAATCCTACACTGAGTCTTTTTCACAGGCAGACCCTGCTTCTGCTTCTCTCCTTTGTTCAAATGTTCATTCCACAAGTATTTCCTGAGCTCCTTACCATCATGGCTGAATACCTTTCATCGCACATGCCGCACATCGCAAATACAATGGCAGATGTTTTAGGCCACTAAGCTTTGGGGTAGTTTAGGTAACTAAAAAGCAATATGTAACTGACACATCTGCATACAACACAGGGCTAGGCTCTGCAGAGAAGCAGAGAGGAATCTCCCCCCGAACATGTGGTAAATTGCACCAAAGACCCCAATTCTTCACACCTTAACCCACTCCAGCCAACCCCATGCTGGAGCAGAGCCCCCACAGCTGACCAGAGATACAGAAGAACCCACTGGAGCTCAGCCGAGATCAACCAGCCCCCCCAGCTACCCAGACATGTGAGCTCTAAGAATAGTATTTCCAGCCATGGGGCTTTGAGGTGATTTGTTACATAGCAGTAGCTGACCAGTACAAGCACCTCACAGCTTTCTTGTGGGGACAGGCCTACACATAAGAAATGTTAATGAACAATACTATAAAATAATATGGATTAAATGCTACATTGGTGGCACAGACAAGTGATCTACATTTAGAACAGAAAAAGTACATTATTATAAGAAAATATGACCTCACAATATGTAAAAAAAAATTGGATGGGCACAGAATATGTGAAAAGTCGCTACAGTAGCACTGCTCATATTTCCCATGTCAGAACCTTATAAGTTACAAAGGTAGGAAGGAGCAAAGCGATTTTGAAACTGGGAGCAACCTGGCTGGACAGGAGGATTTATGTAGGAAAGAAGGCTGGAAAGACAACCAGGCAAGTGTTTATACCGAGTTTATACTTTGTTTGCTAAGCAACAGGGAACCACTGTCAAGGTAATGGTTGCTGAGCATTGTGAATCTACTAAATGCCACTGAACTGAACACCTTAAAATGGCTAATTTTACAGTAGGTGAATTTCACCTCCATTTAAAATGAGCCACTGAGATTAGTGACATGATAAACGGACTGTTTCAAAAGATTCATTTAGTGGTCACATTAATGTGAGAAAAAAGACTGAAAGCAAGGAGACAGATTAGTGAAGAAGCTACTATAATATTCTAGACACAAAAGAGAAAGGTGTAACCCAGGATAGTAAGGGGAGTGGGATGAGTGGAAATAAACTAGTCTAAAAGTCACACTGACAGAACCTTGCAACCAACCAGATATCAGACACAAGACAGAGGATAATGTCCATCCCTCAGAATCTGTAACATTTGAATTATCCACTTGGGAGTTTGCAGATGTAGGTAAAGTCTCTTACCAGTTGACTTCGAAATAACCAAAATGAAGAGTCTCATGGGAGCACGAACCAGTCAGGTAAAGCCTTTAAGAGAGGGTCTAGAACTCAGAAACTCTCTTCTGCTGGCCTTCAAGAAGTCAGTTGTTCTACAACTTTAAAGGAGATGAATTCTGTCAAACGCCACATGAGCTGAGAGGAAAATTCCAAGCCTCAGATGAGACCCCAGCCCTGTGCAACACCTTCACTGCAGCCCTGAGCAGGGGATTCGGCCAACCATGCATGCCCAGACTCCTCACCCCTAGAAACTGAGAGACAACAATGTGTGTGGTAGTGCTGGAAGCTGCTGAAAATGCAGCAACAGAAAACTAATATACTAGGGAAAGGACTTTCCAGGCAGAAGGCAAAGAAAATGGCAGTCCCTAGAGTAGGAGTGTGCCTAGTGCGCTTCGGAAAGTCAGGCAGGCAGCGCAGCCTGAGATGAGTAAGCAAAGCAAAGAATTAGGAGATGCGGTCAGAGAGGTAATGGAGGGCGGGCCAGACCAGGTACGGCCTTGTTGACAACAGTAATAGGAGGAACCACTGGAGCCTTCTCATATGACACATATTTCAAAGGAGCACTTAACTGATAGATTGAGAATGTCCTAAAGGGGATGACAGGGTAGAGGAGGAAGACAGGGAAGGAGACGACAATTCTAGGAAGAGACGATGGCGGCTTAGACTAGCGTAGAAGCAGTAAGGGTAGTGAGAGGTGGTCAGATTCTGCACCCATACTGAGAATAGGATTTGCTTCCCTCTCCACTGGAAGTTCATAGACTTCTACCCCTGCAAAGCAGAGGCTCCCAGAAAAATTCTTTACTATTATGATGCATGTGGTCCCCAGTAGTTCTTCGTGCCTACCTCTCTGATACTTATATCACCCTGTTCTCTGAAATAGATAGCACCTTATTCTTAGCTCCAGTTCCAGCCAATGAGCGGCAACAATCTCTCAGAACTACTTAGAATCTCTCCTTTACAAACCATGATCTCACAGTCAGTCAAACTGCAACCTGGGACATAGTCTGGACAACAAGCAAGCATGTTGCCTTTGGACTCGACTTCAAAAAAGATCTGTCCCCATCAGAGAAACTGCAATATGAATAGACTGTTCCTCCCGACACTCTTGTCACTCATAGCCCAGGAAATGCCTGAGATAAGCCTACAATTGTAGCCAAACGGAGCCTTGAAGGGAGGAGGTTTTCTGCTTCCTGAGTTGTTCCAGAAAGACCAGAAAATCATTAGGGAAACACTGGAGAGGCTGCAATAGTAACGGAGAGGAACTAAGGGGACATTTCCACTTCTTATTAAAATCTCTTATGCAAATGGTTGTAAGATATAAAATGATAAAAGGTGCTGAAGCTTCACAATGGAATGTCCTGAAAACTAGAACATGGGAATAAAAAGACCGGGAGTGACTAACCCTACCTCTTCCCACACAACACCCAGAAGAAAAGTGAAAATGGAACCCTGTTCACCAGCCAGAGTCATGACAGGGAGCATGGCAGCAAATGACCAGAAAGAGCGGGTAAGTCTAGCCTGAAGAACAACAGGAAGAAATGCTATTAACAGCCACTCAAGCCAAAGACATTGTCTCAAAACGGCAGTTTGCTGAGAAATGCCGCAATTCACTGCCTGCACTACCACATACCAGCCACACGGGGGCACCAGCACACCCCATTCCCAAGTGAAATACCTCTTTTTCCTAATCTGAGATACAGTAGGGAACCGTTCAGTCTCCCACAGTGCTCTGTAGCAATACTGCGGCTAATGAAGGCGTGTAATAGCCAAAGAACATGAAAGTGCCACATTCACAGGACTTTATAATAGCACGCTGTAGTCTGCAGTTGGTTCCACTGTTCCTCCAAAGGCCTTTTTGAAAAAGCAGACACCTAGGTGCTCCAGTCCCCAGCTTCCTGCTTTTCTTTGTCTCCCACGCTTCAGGTCACCTCTTTATAATGACTCTGCTGCATGTCTCTAGCCCTGAGCCACTGAGCTCGAGTCCTACATCTCTAATGTGCTCAGGTTATTGCAACCATCATTTCAGAAGAGGCACTCCTACAAAGCCAGTTCCTCTTTGCCTTACAGACCAAGTGCCCCTCAGATTTGCTGATTTCTCTCATTAACAATGATAAACACTAACATTATCTGGTATATGCCAAGCTTTACATGGATTAACTCACTTAATGCTTAAAGTAATAAAGAGGATAATAAAAATACTTAAAATAACAATTGCTCTATTCATTATCTCACAGCTCATTCACTATCACACAGCTAAGGAAGTGTCAGAGCTGGGATTTGAATCCAGGCAGATTAGCTCCAGATCCATGCTCTGAACTGTTTTCTATTTTTATATTCCCTGTTTTCTGTTTTATATTCCCTGTTCTACAAGTGACCAGCATATCTTTGCTGATGATGATAAAGTTAAAGTCCAGAGGCTAGGAACTTGTACTGTATTGTACAGCACAAGGGCCAAGAACCAGGTCCCTCTGATTAATGCTATACTTCTAGCACCTCACACAGTTCATGGCATATAATAAGCATTCGACACATTTTTTGTTTCAATTGGCTGAAGTCACACTCAGATCACCACGTACACAGGCTGAGAAACCAAAAATGAACCTCAAAAGCCCAAATGTAGTTTCCAACAACAGTGATACAGAACTGGTGGCAGGAGTTGCTATTTTGATAATAATGAGCAGAATAATCTAGTTCCAAAGTCAAAACAAATATAAAAAAGAAAATGGTTATAAACAAATTATAAGTGGAAAGAAGTTTTATAAAAATCTCTTTCCATATACAGAATTTTATTGTTGTTAACAACCATTTGATCGATAAATATGAGAGATGCCCTCTCAAAAAAAAAAAAAAATCTCTTTCCAAAAAGAATATGGTGAAAGAAGACATGGTTTAGGAGATGGGATGATGGTGAGAAGGTATCTGGTGGGACATGCAATTCAAACAATTAAGCCTATTCCATTACTATACTGTAGGCCAGGCCTTATTTTTATAATACCTTAACTATTTAATTTCCTATGTTCCAGAAAAGTCAACTACCACCCTGCTAATAAGTCTAGGTCTTGGAGCGGTCATATAAACAGGTGAGGCAATGCTTGGTTATGAGCTTGGTTAAAATATGTTTACCCCTTTTAGGCAAGGCTGACAGAATCTTTCTGACTAGTCGCTGCTCATTGTAAGTATGGTCTCTCTTGATGTATTTTTTTATTCGGGTGTCAGGCCATATTTAATGATTGCTGACAACTAGGTCTGGGTATATGTGCTCCAGGAAAATATGGTCATGTGTGTAACCTACATGAAGTAAAAAGGGGAAGGAGAGGGAGCTAAAAAGCCACCTATCTGAGGAAAGGAGGTACCTCCCCTCCGACTTTGATAGTCATGGAAGGTTCCTAACTGATATCCAGGCTGGAACAAGTTAGCTAGGAATGTATGGGAGAGAAAGACCATTCCAGGCAAAGAACATGTGTGGTGGGCTGGGAGTGAGAAGGCAAGATTCATTCTTGGGGGTGGGAGGGATAACACCAAGACAGAGAGGGTGTGGGGAAGTGGATATTCTCACACATCATTGCTAAGAGTATAAATTTATACAAATTCATAAACTTCTATATAAAAATCTGGAGACATGTTCAATTTAATCCAGCAATTTAATTTCTGGGAATTTATCTTAATGAAAATAATTAAGCATGTATGCAGTGATATAGCTGCAAAGAAATAAACATACCACTGCTTATAAAAGCAAAATTTTCAAAGCACCTAAGTGCCCAGCTATTGAGGACTAGTTAAATAAATTACAATACAACCATATTTCAGAATACTATGCAATCATCATAAATTGTGCTGAAGAGTAATATTTATTGGCATGAAAAAATGTTCACAATATGACATGAAAAGAAAAGACAGGCTACGGTACAGTGTCATGGTGTGGACCCTCTTCAAAAATACATGAACAGAAAAGGTCTGCTTATTTCTAGATTGTGAAATTATTGTTTTCACTTTTTTTCCTTCTCATTTCAGTATTTCTTTAATGAACATATATTGCTTTTTTAGTAAGAAGAAAGTTATATTTAACTTGTTGTAAAGACTTAATTGTCCTATCACTGAACTAAGATAAACTCTTACATCCTGTTCTTGAACAGCAGACTGTGAAGGCAAGGAAAGGAATACATATTCCAGGAAAGGGCATTGCACAGCACATGCCCACACCAGTGCCCCAGACCCTCCTCTCCGCACATACCTGGACAAATCCAAATGGGAAGAAGCGCTCCGTCTGCCCCTGGGAGCCTCGGTGGAAGGTTTGGCGCCAGTCTTCAATGAGTGCAGGGAACGTGCAATTGTACAGGTCTCTGTTAAAATTTGCATTGGCCTCCCCTATAAACAACCCACATTGTAAGAGCAGTCTGGGGTAGATGCATTGAACAGCCACACATTGCTCCCAAGCTCTACCCATGCCCTCAGGTAGGTGTCCTTCCTACAGTCTCTCTGGACTGGCCTTGTGACTTGCTCTGGCCAGTGCGGCATCAGCAAACATAATGTGAGCAGAGGCTTAAAAAGCACCTTGACTTTGGGGTTTGCTCTCTCCTAATACACATGGAACCCTAAGACTGCTAGGTATTATAAATAAGTCTCAACTAACTTGCTGAAGGAGGGAGGCCACGTGAGGACCATGGTGCCCCAGCACATAGACAGGCCCCAGTCAACAGCCATGAGGGAGAGGCCACCCTAGGTCATCCAGCTCCAGATACCCTGCCAGCAAATGCTAACTGATACAATGGAAAAACAGCAAATCAAGTACTCACCCTGGTACCATATCACCCCTTTCAGAGTCATATTATGTAGTGGATGGATCATGGCATTCCAGAGAACAGAGTACCCACTGGGACCCGTTACAGAATCAGATGGAATGAACCTGAAATCAATAAGATGCAGTGTCATGAGAGAGCTAGTGGCTGATCACATGATGGGTGTATATCCACTTAGGGTAAACTGATGAAAGCAATACAGAATTAAATTGAATCACTCTATTTAACAGGAAAACATGTAAACAGTCTCTGGATTTTCACCTTCAGGTTCTTACTAGGATAAATGCATCATCAGCTTTCTGTGAGTTCAGAGTAGGCCATCCCAGGTTCCAGATAAGATCATTGACACCAGAAAGGAAGAGTGTTTTATTGTGAGTCTCTCACACAGGTATTAATTTAACTAGTACTCAGTAGATGGATACTTAGATTGTTCTAAGCTTATTGATTTTATAAGCAATGCCATGATTAGCTTCCTTATAGCTATATATTCTGTACACTCTTGATTATTTCCTAAAGATAAATTCTCAGAAATGAAATTGCTAGGTCAAAGGCATATTTTTTTAAGGAGTTGAACATGTTCTGTAACTTCTCTGTAGAACACTTACATGAGTTACACTTTCATCGGCTGTGTATGGGAAAGCCCAGTTCCCCACACCCCTGGTATATTGCTCCTTCCATGTTCCCAGAGGTCTGGAAGCCTGGCTTGAATTCCCTCCCACTCTACCACAGGCCACTCTTCTGGTTCCAAAGTTGAATGTCTTCCCTCCCCCACAGGCATGCCTTTACCCAAGTGATACCAAGCCCCTCCCCTCCCAGACGCCCTCCCAGAATTAATGAAACAATGTCTGAATGTGGTTCACCTATTGTTAATCTCTGTTAATATTAGTATCAGGATTTTGTACACTGGACCTTTTCCCCTGAACCCCAAATATTCTTCCCAATCTAGCTTTTCCTGAGTGTGCTTTCATATCCAGTATACTAAATATTTCTTTGATTGCGTGTATATTTGCCCTTCCTGCTAGCTGTTTATTCTTACAGGCAGTATAGCACAGGGGTTCAGAGTGTAGGCACTGAAGCCAGACTCTGTCACTTACTAGCTGTATTCATGAGCAAGTTACCTAACCCCTCGCAGACTTGGTGGCTTTATCCACAGTATGTTAACAGTACTGTACTTCAAGAGGTCGGTATGAGTATTAAGTGAATTAATAGATATAAAGTGCTTACAACAGTATCTGGCATATAGGAAGCTGTCAGTGAGCATTAGCTATTACTATTCTTAAAGAAAAGGATCATAATTGCTTCTTGACGTATGCCCAGATGATGGCAGTGGTGATGGCAGTGAGAATAGCACCTTACCTGTTCATGGAATAGGTTCCATACATTCGATACATATCACCCCTTGGACAGTAACACATACTTGACTCTCCAAGGCCCCATGACCTTCCTCTCTGAGAGTTCCCTGGAAGGCTCTCCCCAGACCACAAGATGCTGCCTTACCCATGCCTAGGCACCCCACAGGCTTTCAGAGACCTTCCAGAGGACCAGGCTTCAATGGGTGTCCCACCCCACGAGGAGGAGATCAGCCCAATGGGGTACCGCACGGTGTCATACAGGTAGCGCCCAAAAAGCCAACACACCGCTGACATGTAGGTGAAACTTCCATGGCCTAAATTTTCTGTTCAGAAAAAGAGTTAAAGAGAAAGAGTCAGGGAAAAAGTAGATGGATACAAACTGAAACTGTAGCTTCTAGATGGGTCAAGGTGAGAGGAATGATTATGGGCCATCATTTCGTTCCTTCTAAGACTTTCTAAAAGTAGAGAGACGGAGAGGCAGCTGTCTCAACAGGAGAGGGCCAAAGCTCTCCAGCCAGGCAGGTAGGCTCCCCCGCTGGAAATGGATTTATACCCAATTTTATAGCTATGGTAATAAAAACATGGACAAGCAGGCGATGGGAAGCTGGACCAAAAGGGGGAGCGACAGAAACCAGACCAGTATTTAAATTTACAGCACAGTCTAGCTCATTTGTTCATAGAGCCCAGTACTCAACACAGACAAAACTAGGGTGATTTCCACGTCAAAGGAAAGCTGATGAACACGTGACCATACCCAACTGATGGGTCAGCTCAGCCTAACATTCAGTAAAGACTGTGATGTATAAGCCACTGGCTTGGCACTGTGGGAAAACCAAACCCACACAGCGCTGGCACTCAAAGACCTGATGGTGTGACAGTGGGAATCCAATCAAGCTCAAATCAATTAAAACCGAGTTACTACCAGGTGCCAGGCACTTCTAGAGGGCTGGGATACAGTCAATAAAGAGATACGGAAAGACATGGAACCTCTCCTCATAGGTCTTATATTCTACAGGCTCAGACAAATTTTCAGCCGAATAAAATATATGGCAAAATATGGTTAAGTGGTACAAACGAGTATTAAGGGGTTTCACCAGCAAGAGAAAGACCTGCAAATGAAAGGCAGATCATGAAAAGCCTAATAAAGACTGACCCCTCCCCAGGCTTCATAATACTCTACGCACAGTGTCTCCCCCACCCCACTGAACCACCAGCTACTTGAAGGCAGGGGCCTCATCTTACTCACCTCTCTGTCCTCAATGTCTAGTATCTAATAAAGAGTCAGTAAATGTTCATTTGCTGGCATCAGGTGGCTGTGGGCAGCTGGTACGAAGGTGAATTTATTGATAGGTTGGTAGAGGGAAAAGGTAAATAAGAGGGAAGGGAAGAGAGGTGGGAAGCCCTGAAGGATACACAGGAGATAGTAATCAGATCTGCCATTCCAGGCAGAAGAAACAACATGTCCAAAGGCACACAGAAGAGGGAAAATTTTGCAAGTATTTGACTGGCAAGGAGCACAGTGCAAGACACAACTGGAGAGGAGGCAGGAGCCCCATCTTGGCATAAAGAAGATGGAAAGCCACACTGGAAAGGAGTTGAGAGTGAGAACGTGTAGTGGGCAGAACAGCCCCCAAAGATGTCCACCCGAATGCCCAGACGGGGAGACTGCTGAATGACCCAGGTGGGGCCCATCTAATTACAGGTGTCCTTAAAATCAAGAGCCTTCCCTGCTGCAGTCAGAGATGTGACAACAGCAGAAGAGGCAGGAGAGACTTGCAAATGTGAGAGGGACTGGGCCTACTCTGTGCTCCTGCACATGCCTGCGTGGCCCCGCCTCCTTCAGGCTTTCCCTGAAACATTGCCTTTCTCAGCTGGGACTCCCGTGGCCACCCCAGCTTGGACACCACAACCCCAGCCCAGCCCAACAGGCCACTGCACTTCCTTACGTGCTGTATCATTTGTTTTTGTCTCATTAGAATGGATCCTGTAAGACCCAAAAACGTATTCAGTCTGCGTTCAGAGACTGAAAAGGAGCTGATAGCAAGGCATGTACATTATCCAAATGTAATTGATTCCTGAGTTTGAGAGAACATGTCGTGAGCGTTCATAGGCCAAGATGCATCCAAAAATTTGAGTTCTTCCAGGGAGAGTTCAGATACTGATACTGAATGGTATCAGATACTCTGTACGAAATGTACCAATTTTATTACTGACTTTCTGTATCCAGTGCACTGGAATGCAACCTCCATGAGCTCAAGGGTTCCGGCCCGCTGTATTCCCGCAATCCCCCCAGCACATACGACAGTGCCAAGTGCACAGTAGGCACTCAAGTATTCCCTGAATGAACTGACAGTGAAAATGCAGGAGCAAGTGAGGTCACCAAGGTAAAGCACACAGACAAAAAGAAAAGGGGCCGCAAGGAGCAGCAGGCACCACATCTGGAGGAAGGGACTGAAGAAGGCAAAGCAGCGGGGAGGGCGAGCACCGAGGGCCGGCGGGAGGCAGCACTGTGCCGGCTCGGGGGACGCACAGCTCCTAAAGCAGCAGTCGAATGCTCCAGAGAGCCCAGGGCGCATCACTAGGAGAGCAGGAGCCATCACAGAAAGGCAGGGTCAAGAACGAAAACAAAGGGCATGCTAGAAAGTCTAACGAAGCAAGGGAGAGAGGTGAGGCGTCACAGGAAGGGTGTTTGTGATGTTGGGATTTGCTTTATTCTGTTAGAATTAGAAGGAAAGGAACTGGGTCAGTCTCGCTCAATGCTGGTTCCTTGGGGCCCAGCACAGAGCCTGGCTCACAGCAGCCATGAAATAAAGGTTCCCAGCCGAATGGACAATGGAGAGGAAGAGCAGGGCCTGCGGAATAAAAGAAGGGCCTGGAGGAGGTAAGAGCCCACATCAGAGAGAGCTCTGGAAGGACAGCGATCAGTCAGCTGTGTTCAGACACCATAACAAAGAAAGAGAAGAGGAAAATGAAGCGCTGAGGTGTTGGAGAGAGACCCTGGCAGAACTCGTGCTGAATGGCCTCGCTGTGTTCAGCGAAGCTGAAAGAAGGGTCATCTGCTCATAGCAAGGCGGCGATTCTCTGGTGGAGTCTTTGGAAGAAACGTATGAAATAGCTAAAATCAGGAATGGGGTGGAGGGTCAGTAAGAAATGAATAAGAGCAGTCATAATCCATAGATCAGAGCCAAACACAGGTGTGCAGATTCCCTCCAGGGCACTGACCCACCCTGTAGGAGATGGCCTGTGCTCCAGGGGTCACTCACCGGAGGTGGGCTTAGACCACGGCAAGTCGACGCCACCGAGGTCCTCCAGCTCCTGCTCCGCCTGGACGAGGGACACGGAGAGAATGCGGACAGACTGATAGGCAGCAGTGTTGGACAGCTCCCTTGTAGCATTGAATATCTAGAAAAGAAATACGAATGTCACATATTATACCAACCAAGTGGGTGGTCAACTATTCTAGTGCCTCCTAGTAAACACTACAAACCCTCTGAGCTCCTGAGCTTTCAATATACCAAGGTCAAAGGAATGACCAAAACCAATGACGGGCTGGTCTGAGTCACCCTCACTCACCTTGACCACAGACACCATGAAGAATTATGCCCCTAGACAGGTAGGAATACAATGAAATCTGAGATCTTAAGGAGCAAGTCTGATTTAGAAGGCAGGAGCTACGGAGTGGTTTAGGCTAAAGACCAACTACTGATTAGACCACTTGAAACTAAAATACTTCTATTCAGACAAAGTATCTGATAACATAAAGCCATAACAATAACTTCTTTTTAAAATGCAGCCCAAAAGGCCATGGGGACATAAATTTGTATAATCCACACCCATATGAGAAGTGTATTTAAAAGAAACACACCTGAGAAATGATTTTTGAGCTACTGAAACATTCTGAAATCAGTCTCAAAATGCTCACATTCTCATCTTGGTCATAGGAGACAGTTTGCAAAGTGGTGTTCAGGTTGACTGCAGAGAACAGTCCCAAGAAAGCAGACAAAGAAAGAAAAGCATCCCTCCAAAGACCCATCGCATTTTCCCAAATCACTTTGCGAAACCTCATCAGTTGCCAAGGGATGGCAGGGACGGCTTCGGTTTCTTTCTGGACAAGAATGTGTGTGGTATAGCGGGTAGTTTCTTGGGTAGTCCTATGAAGCATCATTCCTCTGCAAGCTAACCCATTAAGTCCCACTTCCTTTAACCCTGATTTTTTTAGTTATTTCTTCTTTTAAGAAGAATGTATCATAAATATATTGTTTTGCTTTTTCATTTATGTGTTTGTCTTTTCTTGTCTTCTCTCTATCCTCCTGGACTAGTCAGGTTTTCCCAAAACAAAGGGCTAACAGGAGCGTCAGGAAGCCTTACCACTGGCCTCAGCGAGCAAGAGCTCCAGCTGAGGCAGGACTGCCCCTGCGAGATGCACAGGAGGCTGGGACACTTTCCATTGGCCGCTGGCCACAGGGTGTGCAGCTGGTTCGCTTTCCCTCCCACCCGCCGCAGAGAATACAGCTGGCCCTCCAGCCCACAGTGCAAGAGAAATGATGGAGCAGCCGGAGGGCCCCCACAGAGCATTTCATTGAAATAAGCTGCCCCTTGAATCGCCTTTTGACTTGCCGCTGAGCCTGCTGCGGCCCATAAGATGGCCTGATGTAAATAAAATGGCTCTGTAGGTCACAATGGGAGTCACAGCCTAAAATGCTCCTGGTAACAGCACCTCTAGCCGTCAGCGTTACTGGTCTTCCCGCTATCAGAACTGAGACTGCATATGGTCTCGGGAAAATTCCATAGGCAATCCCAACCTGTTTGTTCAGGATCTTGCCTGGCAATTTTGGTGTAAAGTAAACATTAAATAGTAAGAACAGGCTGACGCACTCACAGTAGATTCTGGCAGGGAAATCATTTTTCAGTAGCAAGTACCTGAGAAAAAGTCTCCTCCGCTGAAACTCAGTTCTGCCCTAGACGCTGAGGAACGTATGTTGCTTCCATGGAAACAGTGGATGAAACCGCTCTCACTCTCTCCACCCACACTAGCTTCCGCACAGGCTGGGAACTCAAGTGCCTCAGCACAGAGAGATGCCAGCTCGGGGAGCCAGTGTGCGTGAACATGCTCCCTGTCTTTGAGGCCCGTTGCTAACGCTGCAGAGTACTACTGGAAGGCCAACAGATTCACGTTCTCCCAGATTGTTACCAGCACACAGAACTGGATCCAAAACACTGGCTAGAAAAAAATTGCCTTTTGCAAACTCCCATTTGTGTATTATAGCAATTATATCAAGCCAACGCTTGAAAGTCACAGAAACTGTTGAAAATGGGGGTGGGGAGAAATTCTTGTGGTACCTGATGACAGTGACTTTTGAAATTGGTATCCTTTCCCAATATCACCCAGCCTTTTTGATGGGAGCATTTTCCTCAGGGATATTGGCAGTAAATTTAGGAATAAAGAGATTTCAGGAAGATTTTCATTTAAATGACACTCGGTTTCCCTGCTGATGAAAGGGGAAGCCTTACTCCATCTGCTGAGATCACATTTCATCTCATCAAACACCTCAGTGTAATTATTTTTCTACCAAGTATTTAAATGAGGATGTAAATGAATACCAAGGTATTTGAAGTCATTAAGGCTGCTGCGGTTGAGAGAGAGACCCAGTGCCTCTCTAGGGACTGGCAGTTCACCATCAAAGCAGCTGCTCACTGGTGTTCATTTTGTAACCTTTATGCCACATTCTTGAATTAATGAGGAAACGGCAAGAATCTATTTCCTCAGAGAATCTTGGCGTGGGGTCTGCACAGGGGAGCAAGACAAGTGCGTGAGTGTGTGTGTGTGTGTGTGTGTGTGCGCACATGTGCACACTAAAGGACACAGGAAAAGTTAAAAGAATTGGAGTTCTGTGAATTATTTTATAGTACAATATAGCAGTTTTAAAGTTGAGGGAATCCCTATAAATAAGCCAGCCATCATAACTCCTGTGAATTTTTTCTTGTAGGTTACCAGCCTTTCTCTTCCGGATTTTAATTTCTCTTCTTGTAAAGTAGGAATGTGGGGATTGCAGAGATATTGAAAAATGAGTGTCCTGCCTAAGAAGATTGGCCATCTTCTTCTGGGCCTAACTAGAAATACCCAAGGCTGAAGCCCTACCCTGACTTCAGAGGCAACAGATGAACATTTAGACTTTTCTCCATTTATAAACATCTCACTCACTGTTATAAATAACATTCAATTTTAAAATTCCACTTTACCCTAACAAGATGGGCATACAATCTGCCATTTCCTGCATTTAAATGTGAAGAGTGGTAGGTTACGGTGGAAATCTTACCTCCTTAGCAAAGTCACATAGACACAAGGAAGGAGATAGACAGACACTATGTGGGGTGTGTGTGTGTTCTGAGTCTTTAGGAGAAAAGGAGCAAAAGGAATAAAGGAGTCACATTGAGCATCCTTTTGATCAAATAGTAAAGTTCTACAGTGTGTTAGTTAAGAGACTCGTAAACAGCTCTTGGTAGTGTCAGTACATAAAATGCTGTCTTGCAAACAGTGCATGATTTAAAACAAAAGAATAAAAAATTAACAATTGGTTGCTTCCGATGGAACGTTTTTCTGTGTCTCTGTACCTCAGAGCTTATAGCCTTAGTTCAGTAGAGAAGGTGCTTAAGAATAAATTGTAGGCAGAAAGAATATGTTCACCCTTAACAATCAAAATCTGAGTTAGCTTGACAGAAAATGGGATGAGATCCCCTGGCATAGCCTGCTGTTGAGAACCTTACTGTACAGATACAAACAGACCCACTCCATGCCTTTCTGTGTAAACAGGGAACTGCAATTAAAGCATTAAGGAAAGTTCTGTTTTCCTTAATGAGTTAACAGCATTCCCAATTCTATATAAACCATGCTGTCTATCAAGAGATTGAACTTCAATTTTGCCTTCATTCCCTTATGCTAAAAGGGAGCCCAGAGTTACAGTTCAATTTAATAAACATTTAAATTCAAAAGGTTTTCTTATATTTAAGGAGGACAGAAAGCAAGAGTAAATAAAATATTGACTAGGAAGACATAAATCCAAGAATTTAGATTTTGATTTAGAAAACTAATAATAAAATGAAGTAGCTATGTCCAGAGCAGGATCTTTTTAGTAGCATCATCTAGTAATACATTCACCCCATAAAAGAAGAAGTAACTATACAGGGTAGAAACTATAGAAGCGACACAAGAAATTATAAGCTATGTGAAAGGACTCAATTTTATATATTTTTTAAAAGAAACGAATTAAGATCATTGTCCTGTTATAGTGATTTTTGAATCTCTAAATATTTCTCAAAGACGTAAAGAGGATAATGAAAGAAAAGCAGGAAAATAAAAATCAACTTGGAGAAGAAACTGAGTTTTAGAAGAAGAGCTAGTGAAGACAATAATCTTTCCAAGTTCTCAACCTATTAAAGAAAATCAGAGTATACAGAACATATTAGTGCCAAACAATAATTAAGAATTTATAAGATTATTTATATGAATGTACCATCATTTTGTAAACTGAACCTTTGATAGATATTTAAGAGATTAGTTAAATCAATATCAATTTTATAACCTTTTAAAAAGTATAGTTATTTCATGCTCATTATAGAAAAATCAGAAAATACAGATAAGCAAGAAAATCACTCTGAATTTCAAATTTCTCTGGAGCTCTGAAACTGAGTAAAATATTTTAACTAGCTTTTTAGCAATATTTTAAGCCGATATGGCTTAAATATGTCTATGAATTTGCTATTACACAGTCCAGCCCTGATCTTAATTTAAATGAAACAATGGTCTCCCTTAGTTTTAATTTTAAATCAGATAGCTTCCATTAGACACGGAGGCGATGACAACTGTGAGGCCCAAAACACTAACCCCATCACACCTCATCCAGAAATCCACTATATTCTAGATGGTTTTTGTGTTTATTCAGAAAGCAGAGTTGACCCCAAAAAGAAATCTGGGGGCTAAAGACATGTAGCATCAGGACTTGAGTCCTACCGCAGGTGCCTCACTGGGGCACCAGTCAAATGATGTATTAGGGTTTGCTTTCTTCGGTAACATTTTCAATGTCCTTTTTACCCAGCTTTACTTACGAGACCTCGCTCATAGTTCATCATGGCCCTTCTCTAGTTAGCAGTGGAGACAGGAACACTTCAAGGGCAGTTTCATCACTGACCACCACATCGGTAAGTCAGCATGCCCTTGTACGGTCCCATCTGATTCCTCACGTCCTGTGTACCTCCTTGGGAGCCTACATAGTGCTCTCCCCCACGACACTGCAGCAGGGCAAACAGAGCCAGTGAGACCTTTATGTAGTTATAATAAAGAAAAAAAATGCTAGGTCTCAAAATTTAAGAATAGTTCATCTTCAAAGGCCATGACTGAAACAGACGGAAAAAAATTTCTAACAAAAGAAATCCTAGGCTAAGAAAAGCATAAAAAGTCATCACTAGCCTACTATTTCTTCTTTCTGTAAAGGAAAACATATAAAGAAATGTTAATATGAACATACATATCAATTTTCTGTATGATACCTAATTAAAGTATCAAGATATCTGCTGCCTACCTTGAGATAGTCCACCAAAAAAAAAAGGTCAACCAAATATGACAAAATATTAACAACTATTAGTCTAGGTGATGGGTATATAGGTGTTTATAAGTCTCTTAACTTTTGTGTGTGCTTGAAGTTTTTTATAATAAAAGTTGAAAAATAGTGACGTCTTATATTTAAACAGCAGTTTTCTCTTTATAAGAGCCTTTTAGAAGCAGGCAAAATAATTTAATCTTCATAATGGCCCTATAAATTAATGAGGTCAGATAGAATCATTGTTGTACTATAGTTATGACAACTAAACTTAAGACATTTAACAAAATTCAGTATACTTTCATGATAAAAACTCTCAGACAACAAGAAATAGAGGGAAAATTCCTCAACATGATAAAGGGGATTTATAAAAAACCTACAGATAACATCATACTTCATGATGAAAGACTGAAAGATTTTTGCCTAAGACCAGGACCAAGACGAGGATGTCTGTTTTCACTCAGCAACACCACTCACAGGTATATACCCAAAAGAACTGAAAGCAGGGATTGCGACAGATATCTGCACACCAATATTCAGAGCAGCATCATTTACAATCCCCAAAAGGTGGAAATAGCCCAGGTGTCCACCATCAGATGAATGGATAAACAAAATGTGGCATACACACTGAAGTACAATTTCAGCCATAAAAAGGGATACAGTGTTGATATGCTACATCATGGGTGGGCCGTGGAAACATTATGCTTCATAAAATGTCAGAGAAAGATTACTTTATGATTCCACTTACATGAAGTACCTAGATAGGCAATTTCATAGACAGAAAGCAGTATAGGGGTTACAGGAGCTGGAGGAAGAGGGGAAAGAGAGAGCTACCGCTTAATGAGTACAGAGTTTATATCAGGGGCGATGAAAAAGTTTTGAGCATAGATAGTGGTCATAGGTACACTCAGCATTGTGAATATATTTAATGTCCCTGAAATGTACACTTACCAGTGGTTAAAATGGTAAAGATAATGCTATATTCATTTTAACCACAACTTTATAAAGCATGATTTAAAAGCAAAGTCTCAGAAACACCGATTGATGTGCTCCAAGTCATACAACTAGTAAAAGGCAACGCCAACAATCAGTCTTAACTTTTTAGCCTCCATGACAACAAAAGACACATAGGATGTGAGCTGCTCAACATTAAAACAAAATCTAATTGCTTTTATCTCCTAGGCTCTCTCTCCAGAAGCTCATCTTCTAAAACCAGTCAAAAGAGAAGAGTCATCTACTTCATCTTCAATTTGACATGAAATGTCCATTACCATCAGCTTCTGCCCTTAGCCCAGGAAGGTGAGGGAACAGTGCCCGGCACAGGCACAGTACACCCCCCATCATTAAGAAAGCAGGGTCTGGCGTCAATTTCCCTCATATCCTGGCTCCACTATTAACTGTGACCCTGGGCAGGTATTTAACCTCAGTGGGCCAGTTTCCTTATCCACGAGATGTGAATGATAGTACTTACCTCATAAACTTGTTAAATGAACTTTCTATAATAATGCAAAATTCCATTGATTTGCTAATTAATACTTAGAACAGAACCTGGCACATGGTGGAAAAGAAGGCTTCTACCTCCTCTTTTCCTCCCTCCTCCTCCTTTTTCTTCTTCATCATCAACATATTTATTATCCCTGAGACTGCAAATTACCTGTAAAACTGTCATCTGCATGTTACTTTGCCCACTGCAAAGCCAGACGTCTCCAAACAGGACATCGTGAACTCTCAGAGTGATGTTTGTTCTCCCCAAAGTCTGTTGTGCCATCACTTCATAAGGCCCACCAGGCTTCATGGGATTCAGTACCACCATCCAGCTATTAGAGTGTGCTGAAACAATAACAAGGCTCCGAGGAATTAACTGATCAATTAAAATGAAATTAAAACCCAATCCTGTCATGCATCATACTCATCTGTGGCTGTTCCCAGCCACTGGGATGAACTGAATTCAAAGCTATGAAGGTTGGCCAAACTTCAGACAAATGGATAGAAATAACAAAAGCAGCAGCATTTTCAACCTTACTCTGTACCATTCCCTCCTTACTTGTAACTGAAGCATTTATAAGAAAAATAAATTACCCAGTTATAATCCTAAATGAGAAAAATAAATTACCCAGTTATAATCCTAAATGAGGACAGACGAAAATACACAGAGATTAAAATTCAAGGTATTTAATAAAAACACATAAAATGGAAATTCTTATTGTACTATCCAACTATCAATATTAACATAATCATAATCTAATATATACACAGCACTGCAACATGGAATCACCCACTCAGAGCAAGTTAAAGAAAATCATTTATAATCTGGAACTTCCTCTTATTTGATGGTATCATCCTTGTTACTAATTTCCCCACCTACTCCCCATGTTACTCCCAAGGATTAGTGCTACCAGTGGTTCTGGGTTCTCCAAGCAACAGATTAATGGATGAGTAGAGAAACTGACACAAAGAAGTAATAGGAGGCACGTAGATTAATATGTTGGTGAAGAAGATATTTAAAATTGCCCAATTAATTATTTTCACATTTATTTACAAGATCTAAGGTTTCTGGACTTAATTGGGGAGATGAAAAGCTACCCAAGACCCTATTTCAGAAATTCGTAACATATTCTTAGGAACCACGCCCTTCCTACCTCTCACCCACTTACACCACCACCACTGCAAACATCATACTCGGAAATTTAAGGAAAATCTCTTCAAAATGACCAACGATGCCTAGGAGAACCAAGCAACATGAACAAAGTTGAAGGAATGAAAGTGAGGAAATACATGAAATAGATAAATATTCTTGGTGTAATGCCAAAGGATACAAACTGATTTATAATGTGTGCCCATCAAATCAATGTAGATTCAAAAGGAAAGAATAGTAAGAGGTGGAAATGGAGCATCCTGAAATTTATTATGCCCACTTGCCAAAAATAATAATTATAAACTGTAAGATAAATTCTAGCCGGAATAAGCAGGCAAAGAGAGGCAACAAAGGGTCAGGTAATTTATTTAAATATCCCCGGGTGATGTTCTCGAGGCCTGGGTACTACAAACTGGAGAAGTCATGCCCTGTTAGGGAGGTGGGGGCTTATAAGGGATTAGGAGGGGGAGGAGGGGGCAAGCTATCCTAGGGGGCGTGGAGAGGTATGATTGGCTAAAGGTGACATAATAGACAACTAGAAACTTTTTTCCTTCCAAGAGGGAGGAGGCTGACATCCGGGTCTTAGTTGGCACATCAGGATGGAATTCAGGGAGAGCTGTCCCCTTTCCATATACGGCACGGACTTTGGGGTCTGTTCTCCCCCTATGGCATCTCTCTGTTCTGTTTGCATGTCCTTGTTTTTCCTTTCTCCAGCCTAACATAAACTACTGACCAAGTGCCTACTATGTGCTAGACACTGTGCTAAATTCTAACCAGCAAGAGCTAAGCAGAAGCATGAAAAGTCCAGATGCATGAGAGGAGACCAGCGCCAGCTCAAACCACAAAGGATTGCTCAGTCTTGGGAGAAATGTCCAAAATCTTCAAGGCATCAGCCAAAGAACACATGCTGGCTCCTCTCAAAAGCAAAGCCGACTGAGCTTGATACTCCCATCCCTAAGAGGTCAGTTATGCCCAGAACCAAACGTTCACTATTGTTTTTATACCACCAATAGCCAGACATCAACATATTAAATGTAGAATTCACCTAAAGCAAAAAAAAATCAGTGTTTTGGAAACAGTGGGCAGCTAGTACAGATTGTGTGGCACAGGTGTGATGTGCTCCATATGGCTCACACTTCTGAGCAGGCAGACGCTCCAATCTGTCCCAACTACAGTCTTGCCAAGGTCTTTCCAGGCTTCTTGCACTCAACATATCTTAATGGAGCTCTGTCCTTCTGCCATCAACTTTACTTATTTATGATGATGAGGTCAAGCCCCAGAAAACCGAGGGCAGAACTATCTTTCAGCTTCTACTAATGTGCAACCTATTCCTAGTCCCTGCTGTTCATCAGGTATTTACACTTAAGCCTCACTCCAGGCACTATGGCTGGTGAGGAAAACAACCTTCACCAGAGCTTTGGAGAAGTTGTGCTGCTGAGCAATACAGACAAATAAGGGGAATGGGGGGACATTTGGGCAAACATGGCAATGGTATCCTACTATAGCCAGAGGATGGGCCCCCACTGGGACCCACAGAGTCGGAAGAGAACTAGACCTCACGCCCTGAGCCTTATTCCCAAGAACTGCTCTCCTGCAAGTACTTACAAAGGAGAGAGGCCCCTGGGAAGACTGTTGCTTAGACAGCCTTCATTAATCTGAGACTAAAGGCAGACAGAGGTAAAGCGGTGGGATTAGTCCGTGGCTGCTCGGTGCAGGACGGGCAGGCTAAAGTGGAGCTCGCCACAGGCTGGTGAAGTCAGTTACAGCTTTTAGAAACTGTGTGGACCCACCAAGGAGTCCGAGTAATAAAACTGAGTCACCGATCCTTTAGGGTTGAAGCTCCCCATCCAGCTGGCTTTCCGAGCAACAGCTGCTGCGGTTCCTTCTTCTGGCCTCTAATCACCATCTTGTAACCTCTCTTTCCAGCCCGGGCCCAGGTTTCTTTAACTTATCCTTTTTTGTTTCTTCAAATCTCTGCTTCCTCCCATTCCTTCTTCTCCCATTTAGGAAAATTCATTTCCTTCCTTCCTTAACAGCTGCTTAGGGAGGGCTTCCCAGTTAATGGGAGGAAGTAAACCCCAGCCCGGAATTACACTGACAAGAAAGCCGTGCAAACCGATTAGGCCCTCGTGTTTTTGTGCCTGATGGTTAGTGTATCTGGTGGCCTACTCCTTACTGTCCCTCTTCTCTTCATACTCCAGCCAACGGCCTAGGTCAAGAATTCTCCATTTTCTCTCCATCTCCCCAACCAACCCCACCTCAAAATGGAAAGAAAAAACAAAGGGAAAAAACTGAGATAATTTGCCTGGAGACATGATTAGTCATAAAGTGCTTTCATGCTTCTTTCTTTTTTGCTATTCACATCAGATGTTAATTATTTTTCAGGTTATTGTGCCAAATCTCAGATGCCAAGAAGAGAAAAAGGAGCCTTACCCATGCCTTTCGCTTCCCAAGAGGAAAAAGCTAGAGCTGGAGGCAGCAGCCCACGTCACTTCTTGGCACTTTACCAGTTGCAAACCGGTTCAATGATTTGTGCAAGTGACTTGAAGGTAAAGAAGGCCTTGCTGCCTAAATTGTCCCTTCCTGGCCTGCATTTTTCTGCATAAAGTTCATCTCCAGCACCACCAAGAATGAATGTCAAAAAATAAAGCTTAAACATTCTTCTCTCAAAACTGTTCATGCAAGGTACTTAAACCATAGCATGGTATGTGTCCACAGCAGACACACCCTAAGGTGACTGCCAGTAAGCCACACCTTTGCACAATTCACCCCCCTCAAGTGCAGGCAGAATCTGTGATTTGCCTCCAACTAACAGAAAATGGTAGAGGGGGTGAGATGTCATTCTTATGATCAGGTTATGTTTTATGGAAAAGATAAAGGGGTTTTGCAGATGTAATTTAAGTCCCTAATCAACTGACTTTAAGTCTGAATACAAAGGGAGATCATCCTAAATGGGTCTGACCTAATAAACCAAGCCCTTTAAAAGAAGGTCTAGAGGTCAGAGGTGAGAAGCAGCAGAAATGCTGCCATGAATTCTACAGAGACAAGGAAATAAGTCAGCCAGCACCCTAAGGGAGCCCAGAAGCAGATCGTTCGCTGGTGGGGCCTCAGGAAGGGAACGAAGCCCTGCCAACACCTTGATTCCAGCCTGTGAGACCCTGAGCAGAGAACCCAGCTACACTACGGCCCGGCTTCAGATCTAGTATAAAAGCGTGTAGTTTTAAGTACCTCAGTTTGTGATAGTTTATTAGGCAGCCCAGAAAACTAGTATGCATGCTGGCACTACAACCAGGATATTTTTCTTTTTCTTTCTCTTTTTCTTTAAGGGGTTTAGTTTTTTTGTATTTTTCTAAGTTAGAGAAAATATATCTTTATTTATAAAATAAATATTTACTTCAAAATCATCATGACAAATTCAGGCAGACACACCGCATTTTATCATCTACATATGCACCCTCCATGTGTGTCAAAGTGAGAGGATATACCCTATTCTCCTCCAGTTTATTCCCTGTGTCTGAAAAAATCGTCATGCAGCATTTGATACCATGTTTTGAGGAGGCCCAGTACCTGACCATACTCCCAATCATCCCTCAGGTTTTAATGTTCCCAGTGCTTAAAGAGTAAGTCTGCTGGACAGAACCTTTATGTTGTTATATTCCATATTCCAGTCGTTGTAGGCACCTAGGGGATTATAAATAATGTTAATATTAAATGAGATAGAATGGCAAATTGAAGTAGTCTGGCTGAAAATCCCAGAGTCCTCATCAAAATGTAAATAGAAGTCAACCCTTCAGTGTACCCTGTAATGTCTCCTTTGAGAAAGCTTATCTTTTTGCTGTATGAAATTTCTTCCAGGCTTACACCCTTTACTCCAAATAACACTGTATCCATTTTGTTTTGTGGGCAAGACAGAGCAAGATGCTCACTGAAGTAGGTTTGTGGATCTATATAAACTCAAATACCTTTCTTCTCTACCAAGCAAATGCGGAGAGCCTAATAAATTGATCTACCCCCCGCCCCAATAACATCAACCCCTTTTCCCGTGAAATTACCGTCAATAGTCCATCAATCACTTGGTTCCCTTAAGTCGCCGTTGAATATTTTGACTCCAAATAACACATCACTTTGCAGTGAAGCAGCTGAAGCATTACTTGAACCTAAACTACTAAATGTGGAAGGACAGCATGACAGAAGGGGCACTATTTGTGTTCTTGCATGAATTTTCCAGGGTTTCTAGCTCAGTGTTTCATACATAATAAGCCCTCGACTGATGTTTGTAGAATTGAACTTAGGATAAGTGAGCACATTCAGTTTCACTGTCAAGGAAAAAAGTGGCTCACCTTCTAATCATTACCTATCCTCTCGCCTCATCTCTGGCCACTCTAAATATTGGTCCAGCCTGAAACAGCCATGAAGGGGGAAAAAGCTAAAAAGAATACATCAGAACATTTTTAACAGCTGAAATGTACATATTCTGTCCTTTCTATATCTGTATCTACAGTACTGTGTCATCTGCCTCCTAAATATGTATTAGTAATGTTAACTATTAACATCAAGGAAATCCTGTTTCTCTTTTTTGAACTACAGTGGTTCTCTGGATTCCTAAATCAACATCATTTACTGAGAATACCGCTGTTCGTACTCTGTGCTGCTCATTTCAGCATGGACAGAAAGCAGAGTAAGTTCTGCCAGCCCCCGGAATTCTTCATTCCCAGTGCACCGTCCAAGTCACCAATGGTGCTTAAACCTAATGGAGAACAACTTCTTAGCTTTAGCCCCTTTCAGGCCTCTTAGTTTCACCCAGTAACATTTTTACCTTAACAAGTCTTAAAATCCATGAACTTGAAGCACTTACCCTGCATCTATGCCTGGTACATCATATTATAAAATACGTGCTGAATGGAAATGAATTATGAAGAGCCTGCCCCAGGGTGTGGATCACTCTGAATTGGATATCAGGGCTATATACTGACAAAACTAATTAGGCAATCCTTGTTTTCAGGGGCCAAAAAAATCTCTACAAGCGTCCCTGTCACACACATATTCAAGTCACTTCTCCAACTACCAACTCCAACATTAACTCCACACGCCCCCCCCCACCCAGAGTAGCCTCCTTACTTGTCTGACTCCAGTTTCAACATTCCATAGCTACGTGGCTACGTGTGACTGAGATATAATGACGTCTCCTCTCGACCAGCCTGAGCATGCCTTCTGGCATCTAGTAACTTCTATATTTGCTCTTCCACACACACTTATGCATCTTTATCTCTTCTAGGCAGAGACTCCTTTGTAGGACCTCTCTGTTCATGAAAGCTGCTAATTCCCATCTTCTTGAACATCCTCACAGCTACTCTCTCAGGTCCAGCCTCCACGGTCTACTGCCTGAATATCATTGCAGCCTGCTAGCAGGTCCCACCACCTCTAGTCTTCTTGATTTCCAATCCTTCTTCCTCAGTTCTGCCGGAGTAATCTTTCTGAAATACGATTCTGACTGTGTTATTTTACTGCTTAGAATCCATTGATCCAAATAGAGCATATGCTCCTCAGCAATGACAAACAAGCCTCCTCCCTACATTCCCAACCTGATCTCCTGTCATCCACCACAAGTCGTGTACCCCAGTGTTCCAGAAGCTGCTTGCCGTTTCTCCAAGGGCCCTGGCTCACTCACGCCTCCATGCCTTTGCCCCGCCATTCCCTCCACCTGGTTTGCCCTACTCTCCTTTCCAGATAAGTTAATTATCCCTCTAAGCACTTTCACAGCACCCTGTACCTCCCCATTGTGCACTTATCACCCTAAACTGTAGCTGCTTATTATCTTTCTGTCTCCTCCCCACACCTATAAGCCTCCTGAGGGGAGAGACCACATCTATTTCTTTCAACACTGTATCACCAGTACCCAGCACAGTATCTGGCACATAGTAGGCACATGATAAATATAGGAGACTGACTAAATATAATACAAATAATAATAATAATGGCAGCTAACACTTATTTAGTACTTATTGTATGCCAGGCACTGTTCTAAATACTTTACATGTGTTAATTCATTTAATCCTCAAGATAATCCCAAATATTATCTCCCTTACAAATAAAGAAATTGTGATGCGAAGATGTTAAATAACACATTCAAGGTTATATAGGCATTAAGTGAGAGTGAGGATCTGCACCCAGACAGTGAATTCCAGAGCCTGGGTTCTAACCACCCCTCCATACTGCCTCTTCAAATGTCACCTGCTATGGACACCTTCCCTTACATGGTACAAAAGAGAGGTTTTTCCTCTGTACCCATGATACCATATATACTTTCCTCAGAGCACAGCATTGATTGCACTGTACTGTATGGCCTGGTGTCTATTCCCATTATTCCATGAGCTTCTTGAGGACAGTCTTTGACTTGTTTCATTTTTCTTTGTATCCTCAGGGCCTAGCCCAAGGTAATACTCAAATACCTTTAATGGCTGGCTGGCTGGCCCCTGGGGGGCTGACCTGAGTGGGAGCACTGGCATTCATTCTCAGACACTCCAGCAGGTGGCAGAAGAAGACAAAAGCTGAACAGAGGTTGGGCTGCCTTACCTTTCACACTGGTCACTTTCTTCATGATGGTTTCCTGATCTTGGCACAGAGTCACTGTCACTGTGGCTCCAGATATGCCATAGCCCCAGATCACAGCTCCTGCAGGCTCCTTCTGCAGCACCATGTAATTATCCATGTATGAAGCAAAGCGAAAACCAACATCTAAAAAATTTAGCAAACGCTTAGAAGAGCATCATTGGGGAGATTCATCACTGACTGAATCTGGTTTAACAGCAAGGAACATACAGTCTTTATACAAGAGAATTTGAACATACGCAGTCCTTTAAATCTCCTACAAGTAGGTCTTATTCCTCCTAATTAGATGAGCAACATAACAAGAACGGTTTCCAACAATGGGCATCATATGAGACACATAAAGACAGAGCAATAAGGAAAGCTCAGAGAGCTTAGGCAATCAGCATGCCACAGCCTCCTCCCTTTAGAACCCCTGGCCGTCCTTTGCTCTCAGGCTTTGCCCTGATGCTTGACTTTCCCCCTCCAAATCACTAAAATGCTCCTTCTGGGCACCCCACAGATGGTATTTATGAGAAAAACAAACCACTTCCTGTCCCTTAGCCCATTACCACACCCACTCCTCTGGGCTGGTTATGAAGAAGGCTGCAACTCTCCAGCACACCTCCCCTAACTTCCCCCCCCTCTTCACTTCCCTTGCCATCCTTGCACTGTCAGTATCCCCCAAACAATCCCCTTACTGTGTTTTTTTTTTTGGCAACCCACTGATAATTCTAAGTAAGCATTTATGAGTATCTGCGACAAGTCTGCTTCCCTCTAGGGCAAATTCAGATACAGACACAAAAAATAAGGTGGGTAAGAGAAGGTCAAAATGTCTGAACGAAGGTCTTTTTTCGCAGGTTTACCCATTTCACAAGCTAACTTATACAAAAAAGAACAAGAGGAAGAGCATAGGAAACTGTGGATTCTATTCTAGAGTCACTAACAAGACAGAATAAGAACTCACTTTAACGAGATCATTCCTATTTTTAACATCCAGCCTATATCGAAGCATTTTATTAATAACAAGCATCTACCCAAATTGCCTCAGTGAGTTCTCATCAAAACTTAACGAGGGAAAAAAAGTAAGTTGCATTCCAATTTGTCTGAAGAAAACAGATAAAAATCCATAGAAAATAATTAACAAAATTATGACCTTTTTAAAGGGTTTTAAACAAAAATAATAGACAAGAAAGAGAATCAGAACTAACAAGACTGACATTTTCCTCCCTGGAAGCTGCAAATGATTATGTCCCCTTAGGCTCTACTTATCAGGGCAGCATTGCTAATTGAGTCTCCTCCGCAGACTTGGTGACCTGTTTGTCCCACGCTCTGAATAACAGCCCAGCCCCTAAACACCCTCAGCAGTCTCTTATGAGTTAGTTTCTTCATAAAACCTACATGACAATAAAGCTCATCCAGAAGGTCCACTGGGTTGGAGACACAGAGCTAAGACAAGCACAATCCCCTAAGACCGACATCCCAGAATTGCATAAGGATGTTGGCAGCCTGCTGATGCAAAGAGGAGAGAGGCACGTGGGTGGGAGGGCCTAGTCCTAGGTAGGTGCTTCATTTGGAACAAAAACTGAAAACCAGAGGCCTAAGAGCTAAGCAGGGAGGTAGGGGTGGGGGGATGATGGGGGGGTGGAGATGGGGGGTGTGCAGTGAAGAAAACTGCCTGGACTTGCCTATGAGCCTGTGCAAATGAAAGCCTCTAGATGTGCAGCCCGTCTTCTAGGCTGGGGAAAATACCTGTCCAGTCAGTCTGTTTTTGCCAACACATAGTTACAGAAGCTCTTTGTGCATGGCTCTATTAGGAGTTCCAGAATTTTAGCAGTGGAAAGGATCTTTCACAACCTCAGGCATATAAAAAAATAATCATATTATTCACTGATCAACAGATTGAGATCCAAGTAGATTAAGGAATTTTTAAAAATAACTTGCATATTAATTAATTCAACAAATACTTATCGATACCTACTACATGCCAGACACCATTTTAAGCACTGAAGATGTAACAGTGAAAGAAAGAAAAAGAGAAGAAGAAAACACAAAAATCCTTGCCAGCAGTAGGGGGCTTGCATTCTACTGGGGAGTTTCCTTGTGGTAGGCTCAGCGCTCAACACGCTGCAGACATTAAATTTTTATCACTGGCCTCAAATCACATATGTAGTTTGGGACAGAACTAGAAACAAAGCCACCCGATTCCAAAGTTACTGCAATTTTCACTCTGGTACAGTAAGATACTGGTGGTAAATGAATGAAAAGTCACATTCCCTGACCTTATAAAGCTCACATTCCAAGCTGATAAGAGTAGACAGTGGAACATTACCAAGGAATTAAGCAATGGACAAAACAGGAACGAGAAATCAGGCGGCACTGGAAGCGATTTTGTCAAACACAAGGCATTTGAATTACTGTCTGAGGTCTTCACAATTTTTCCTTCATATGGGTGTTAGGAGTAGAAAAACAGGAATTATCGTTCTGAGAAAGTTAAAAGTAGTCATTAAAAGTAGACTGACAGAATTAGCACAGTGGTTCCTCTGGAGAGGAACTGGTGGATGGAGGAACATCCAAGATCCCCAATAAAACTGGCAATGTCCTAGTTCTTAAACTGAAGTGCCCATGGGTGTGCATCTTACTGTTTCACTGCTACTACATGTATTTCCATACATTGCAAATATTACAAGATAAACATGGGCAGAGAGGGAACGATCTGAAGAAAAGAGGTCAAGATATGCAACCAAATCAGAGGTGGGGGGTGGGGGTTAAAGCATTAATGAATGAAAAATATAGTCATTGTTAATGAAAGTGATGTGATGAGATGACCCAAAGGTGAGCCTGAAACAGGAAAACCAATCAAATAATGGCCCTACTCTCTTTACCTTCTCCCCACATCGTGTGCTGGAGTCAAAGGTCATGGAGTGAGGATGAGTCAGGAAATGATACCCAAGTGCTGCTAGTTTACATTTTTGTTAAGTCCTGAAAATCCACTTACGGGGTGACAGTTTGTCTGAATCTGGGTACATTTCGGGTTCAGCAGTAGAGCAGCAGTCACGTCTCTCCACTCTGTCCATTCTCCCACCTCAAGTTTCATTACTTAACAGGGATATTTCGGCCCACGATATGAGTAGTTTGGAGGGAAAATAAAGGTCCAGCCTTCTCACCTTACTTCACATTAGCAGACAGATTTCACCTTTCGCCTCCTCCATGGGTGTGACCCTGTCCGGTTTGGGGAATTCAAACGACAGGCTCTGGCCTGGACAAGAGTCAATGTGAGTCGCCCTCCTCCCCAGAGCCACGCATATTATCCCACCTGCAGCATCTGTAGAGAATCAAAGCTGAGGCTTAAATATTCTGAGCTAGTGAGGGGGTTGTATTTCTTAGCCCTAATCACCACTTAAGCTAGTGAAATTTAATTCCCCCAAAGAACCCAGCCTCCCCAAGGGGTACCACTGAGGGGGCAGCAGTGAAATGTTTGGATGACTCAGGCACCTGTTTCCAAATATTATCTAACTAGCTTCGCCCCCTCCCCTTCGAGTTCGCCTGCAGTTATTCAAAGACTCTGAGGGCTTCGGTTGGATACAGTTGGGCCTCCCGATTCCGACAATTCGTCTTCCTCTGCCCACCACACTGCATCACCAGGACGGCGGAAGGGAGTGTGGAGGAAGAGGGGGGCCGGGGCTCGGGCCAGCAGACACCTGCAACGGAGGCCTGGGTGGGCGACCGAGGACCTCGCAGCCGGGGCAGGCTGGCGGGCAGGGGTCGAGCCGAGCCCGGCCGCCTCACCTGCACTTGCGCCGGCCCGCAGGATTAATGGCAACACCCATACAGACACCAGTCGCGACCCCACCATGTCTGCGGAGATCCGTCGCCTCTGGGCGAGACTCGGGACGCGGAGTCCAGGCGGGGGCGGGGCCTGCGCGGGGCGGGGCCTGCGCGGGGCGGGGCCGGCCCGACCCCACCCTTCCCCGGCCATTCCGCCCGCGAAGCCGTCCGCGGCGGCGGGTGAGGCCGTGCACCTCCCCTTTTCGGCCGCCGTAGTTGATTTAAGGGGGACCCGCGGGGGGGGGGGAATAAACGGTTACCCAGCAACGAGGAAAATCAACTGGAAGCCTCGGCACCAACGCTGAGTGGAGGTGAGGCGGTTTACCCCACTTCCTCTCCAAAACCGGCACCTCGGCTTGTCCCTTCGCCTTTCGTGTTCTCTCAGGATCCCTGACATATTCCGGGAGCCCTCGGGTTAATCAGGAGCCAAGGCGGCCATTCTGCGAGGGTCTGAGGTCTCACATCCTCGGCGTCCCGCCCCGACTGGACCTGTGTGCCCACTTCTGGCCACCCTCCAGCCCCCAGATGGCTCCAGGGCCTCACCAGTCCTTTTCACAGCCCTGTAATGATTTTATACCTCATCTCCTGTTCCCTAAAAAAAAAAAACCTTTCACAGATTGGGACTCATTAAGACGTCTAGTCCCTGACTGCCTCACCACGGCGTGCGGCCTTACTAGACACTGACACTTAGAAACAGGCCAGGTTCCTGAGTGTTGCTTGCATGCCCAGTGGGCCGACCCGCCGCTGGGCAGGGGTCGTTAATCTAGTTGTTACAGTCCCAGACAGGAAGAGAAGACCTGGTCAAGATGAAACGAGAAAACAGAATCCCAAAACTTTGAAGGATAGGATTGCAAAATCATGACCTTGCCCCTACCCTCCCCTCCCCTGCCACCCCTAGCAGAGTATGCTTCGGGGCCTTGTGGGGCACGCTGCAGTCGTGGAAGCTAAGGGGAAGACTGCAAATTAGACTACAAAAAAGACTTCAAACAAATTAGAATAATTTCTAGAACCAGGACTAGTTCTTACTTGATTTTTTTTTTTATTTTAGATCCTAAAGGACTTTTTTGGTAATTTATGAAGTTTTAATAAGTCATTCGCTCTAAAAGCCTGTGGGATGGGAATAATTAACCCCCACCTTTTAAGGACAGAAAGATAAAAGGACAGAGAGAAAAAGAAGTTGGTGTAATAGTAAAAAATCTGTGTGTTTTGTAATTTTTAAAAAATGACTTAGCCTATCAAATGGGTCTGTATTTGTAATATTCTAACTGATAATGGAGAATTCAAAACTGGAAGAAAATGGGTGGACTTGGGTTGCGTTGGGGGGCAAAGAATTGAAGTCCAGAAAATTTTGGCCTCAGAAGTAATTTGTTATCCTAGTTGTGGTTACACAAACACAATCATACAAATTTAAAGACGGTACTCTTTAATGAATCTATAGGTACCACAGGCCGGTTCCTTCCAAGGAGATGTCGATTCCATTCTCCAATACCCACTGCCGAATTCCACAAGGATTTGGGAATCTTCTTGAAAGGCTGACATGTGAAATTCTGAGGGAGCAACCGGACAATATACCAGCTTTTGCAGCAGCCTATTTTGAAAATCTGCTAGAGAAGAGAGAGAGTAAGCTTTGTAAAAATAGGATTTTTTTTTTAAATAAGAGACTAAGCATTTGGTTATGGTGCAACTTGCTTAAGACTATCCCAATTCCACACAAAGCTTTTATGAGGCAGGCAATTCAAATAACTGTTCTTGCTGTTTGAAACGTGCCTTTTTGGCAGGTTCTCTTAAATAACATGATTTCACATTACTGAAGATTACCAGTTTATTACCCAGACCTTCTACACTGTATTTCCTATGGACACACTGGATAGAAGGGGACCTCAAGGATCACCCAGTCTAGCTCTCCATTTTCCAGCAGGCTGTTCCTATGCATGCCACGCAGTTATCTGTTCATCCTGGGAGGACAGTTTTTGGTTTTCTTTACATTTTGACTTCTTACCTGAAAGTATTATAAGTGTTGTAAAAAATAGTTCTACACTCCATAGATTAAATAAGCTGGTATTTGCTGGAGGATAGGAAGCAGTTCTGCAATAAAGGCACAGAGAAAAGCTACTCTGAAAAGTAAACTTCCAGCTTAGGAAGGTAATTTATATTCTTTCTCTGTACCCCCAAGGTCCCATCCTGCCCACAAAGATTCGTGCTAATAGTGACTCTGGTAGGGTTTCTTTACTTCCATAAATAAAGGTTCCAAATTCCCAGGCTTGAAGGTTCGTGACTGACCCAGTGGTCAAAATGGGAAATATTACAACTATATGTTAAAAACGTATTCTCTGTTAGAGCAACCATTTTGTATCAGTTGTTACCATCATTACTTATGATCACAGTACTCCAACAGGGTGGTAAAGGTGACTAGAAATAGCCACAGGCAAATAAACATTCCATTTTAAATCATTTTACAGAGGGAGGAAACCTACCACAAGGTTTAAATTGTAACAACTCCAATATACACGGCACGTTTCCACGCCCTTGTCTTCTTTGCTCTATTCTGGCAAAGCTCAAAATCTCTGTCAGTTTCCTGAATGCTGCTGGTCTTTTCCATATCGAGTCAGTGTGAGTATTTGTCACACAAGCTGAAACTTAAATGCCAGTAGGAAGCCATTAAGAGAAATCCTTTAGGGTGAGAGGTGAATTGGAGTGAACATTAATTTGTTATTATAACATTAATTTAACAAACTCATGAGTAAAAAGTCCTTAGTCATTTATTTAATTTTAGACCTCAGAAAACATCCCATTAAAAAAATGGGTTTGAGTCATTGTTACCAAATCATGATAATTAAAGCATTTGATGATTCAGATTAATGGTCTCAGAATCCTAGCTAATAAAAAATGGGTAAAACTATTGGAAAAAATTTAAGCACCACACCCATTTCTGCTGATGTAAACCAAAGGTGAATTATCCAACAGATAAGAGTATCAGAATTTTGTCTCTACAAAAGGGAATAAAAAGTCCACTAGCCCAGTCTCTCACACAATGTAAGAATTTGTTTGCCAGGGTTCCTCACTGGTAATTATTAATTTTTATTATTGTGACACAAATATATTAGTATATTATATACAAGTGGTATCTCATATCCCTAGGGAAAAGGTTGACTTTTTATTAAATGATGTTGAGATAAAAATGGAAAAAAAGATAAAATTGGACCTATTTCTTACATCATTTATCAGGATAAATTCCAAAATGACTGGAGATTTATATATTTTTTTAAATGAAACCATACAAATACTAGAAGAACACATCTATGAATTTCTCTGTAACATAAAAGAGGGAAAAATTTGCTGGCTAAGTTACTATAATTACTTTAAAAATCCACAAGTAATCAAAAACAACATAAAAGTAAACTTAAACATGGCAAAAACCACCATAAGGAAAATAAAACTACAAATACAGAGAAAAAATATTTGCAGTTTATATAACAATGGGTAATAAACCTAATAAATAGAGAGCTTATAAAAATAATAAAGAAAAAACGATCGGCCCTATTTTAAAAAATAGGTATGAGATAAGAGCAAACAATTCACCTAAAAATAAATGCAAATGGCCCTTAATACATGACACACTCAAACTAACCCATACACAAGCCTTATCAAAGCCACACTGAGCTACCAATGCCAACCACCACCACTTACCCCATAAGATTGGCAAAAAGCCAAAAGTTTGCCAATTTATTCTAGGCAAGGTGAGGGGGGAAATAAGCACTCATATACCTTGCTGGAGGAAATACAAAGCTATATCGCCCCAAGGAGGGGAACTTGACAATAATTACCAAAATTATATACATTTTTAACCTTTGACCCAGAAATTCTACTTTGCTTTTCATTGCTTTATTTGAGGAAGGAACCAAAATATCCATTATAGGGGATTTATTGAATAAATAAATACATCCACGCAATGGAATACTATATAGCTATAAAAGAAACAAATAGAATGAGTAAGATCTCTGTATGATGCTATGGAGTGGTTCTCTGGATATACTAAATGAAAAAATCAAGGTGAAAAAGTGTGCTTAGTATGCTACCAATTATCTAACAAAGGGGTACTGATATGAATACATAACTGTTCATTTATATTTATTAAATGGAAGAATAAATATTTTATAAGTAACATTTACCTCTAGGAGTAGAAGGAACAGAGTGGAAGGAACAGAATAGAAGCTAGACTTCTCTAAATATGTCTTGAATTCAAAATCACAGATGTTTAACATAGTTATAAAATATAATTAAATTGGAACATCGTAATGCAATTTCTAAAATGTACAAGCAAGGTAAAAATAAACAGACCTAACTAGTAGTGAATGGGTAGCATAACCACACAGAAGGAATTATTTTAAGTGACTTTATAACACAGTGATTTGACTATACATCCCTAGTGTATACAGCCCCAAAACAAAATGAAGTTAAAAAAAACCTTAGTTTTCAGTAATAATTATTAGTAATTCTTATTACTAATAATTACTAGTAATAATTATTAGTTACTCTGAAATTATTATATGTATGTATATGTAGGGCAAAGCAAATAAGTAACTATTCTATTGTCATTCAGAGTAAGATTTTTAGTGTAAGAAAAACGACATAGAAATATAAAAATGAAAGAAGTTAAAACCCTGCAATCCAAAATTTGGAACTGAAAAATATTAGTATGACCTCATGACATATTTTTTTCTTTAAAAAATCAAAGAAGTGTTCTGTAGCTCTTTACATTTGTTAAAGGCCTGAAAAAAAATGACCAACCCAGTACCAATGAGCACCTAGCTCCTGGACTGTGGCATCTAACTAACAGTACCCAGGAACCAGGGCTTCTTGGTGAACTAGCTAATTTCATGAGTTGGGCAGGAAACATGCAAGATGAATCTGAACATGTTGCCATACCAGAGAACAAGGAAACTGTCAAATATTACTAAAATTGTTTCCAAAGAACTCAGAAGCATCTGAGCACATGAATAAGCTCCTACTGGTCAATTTTGGATAACTAGAGCATCAATAAGAATAAATGCAATGGATTGAAATTCATCCA